TATGTTTGCAGGAGGAACCGATCAATCCGGTTATGTTCTCAAGCCAAGTGAGCTTCGAGAGATTAAAATGCTTCCTAGCGTTCCAGAGGAAGCAGGAGCTGATCATGTCAAGAGAGAACGCAAAAATGTTAACTTCTCAATTGACATTATCTCTGCTCAACAACTCATGCGCCCAAAGGGTCTTCCTTCTAATCGTTCTGTCGATCCATACATTGAAGTCGAAGTTTATCATGCTGATGATAAGAGCAAGGAGACTAAAGGTGTCATTGGTGAAGGCGGTCTTGACGCTTCTGCTAAAGATGGCTCTTCTGGTTTAGGAGCCCCTCACAAGCGTCGTACACACATCGTCCAAGAGAATGGGTTTAATCCAGTCTTCAATAAAAAATTCAATTTCGCTTTGACAACTAAATTTCCAGAACTCGTTTTTGTTCGCTGGACTGTTAGATGCTCATCGGACGGCCACAGTTACAACGATAAAACTTTACCACTGGCTACATATACTGCCAAACTCAGCAGTCTCAAACAAGGTTACCGTACTTTACCTCTCTACGACACAAACGGTGATCAATTCCTCTTCTCCACACTCTTCTGTCGTGTCAAGATTGATCCAGCTACAAGCATTTATGTCAATGCTGAATCAAACGAAAGCGTTGGAGTACTTAAGAGTCTCGGTCGTACCGTTTTCAACCGAACACCTCTTTCACCAAAACCTTCCGTCGACAGCAATCACCAATGATCCCAACTTACTTCATACTTCAACAATATTCGATTTATCTGTACATACTATATCCATTGTAATATACATCATGTGGGGCGTTTGTATCAAAAAGGCGAGATACCATATTACATTTCAATTTCTTTGGACAGAAGCAGTCATCAATTCTTTGGTTCAACAATTCCGGTTTCATACGGCGCATCCAGATGTCTCGAGAGTTTAATCGATCCATATTCGACTTTGTTTCTTTTCACGCGTTTTCTTTTGAGCGAGGCGCAACTTTTATTTCGGGAAATCAACAAAGGATACCAAGCGATTTACAATATCACAGCATAAGGATTATGATTTCATTTTGAAAGGGCGCGGGCGGCATTCACACACATAGGGCTGGGATATTAAAAGTGGCTCGCGCTGCGCGTTTTTGCTAGCGATTGCATTTTAACGGGGTCGGGCATCTGCATACTCCACAGTTTGGCGTGAATGATTTATGTCATTTTCCACCAAAAAAAAAACAACTCCACTCATTTAATTCTAGAAACTTTCATTTGTTTTGCTTTTTCACTTTGGTAATATGGTAGTTAGCGGGCATACTACATCTTCCTTGTGTTTTTTTTTTCTCTCTCTTCAAAGGATTCCCCTTGCATCAAATATTTCGCGGGTCGAGTTCTTGGGATGGCATGGGACTGGATGGGATGGAACTGGATTGCACGGACAGGAGCATCGCGGAAGCATATACGAATCTGCTGGACTGGCTCTATGCGTTGTTTTTGTTTCCTTCGCCTGGAGCTTTATGATGGGATCGTTATTTTGGCGTTTCATATCCTGGGGTTCTGGTATTTTTCTTTTGTAAGGGATCCTTTTGCATTCAATGGATGGATGGGATAATTATATGACGGCCTGGATCTGGGAATTTACAGTGTGGGGGACTTTTTCTGTTGTATACACATGAGAAAGATTTGATTGTGGATGTGGTTGCCATTGAAGATGGCTCTGACAAGCTGGATCTTGATCTTGATCTTTTAGCTGCGAGTTTTCAGCTTATGTGAGAGATTTTTTGTGGCTTGAGAAGAATTTGGGGGGTTCATTGTTTAGGTGGTTGATAGAATGTGGATGGGTGGGATTTGGTAGAAAGAGAGAGTGTGAGAGATGGAATGGGATGAGAATATGAAAAGATGAATTTTCTTCAAGACTTGAGAGATAATTATAAGCGGTTGAGGGAGTGGGAGAATAAACAATGAAAATCTTCCCGAGTCATAATATTTTATCTGATGATGACTTTTGTCGTGTGAGTCAGTGATGTAATGTAATGTGATGAAAAGTGTATATGGGTGTACTACAGATGAATCAGTAGGTGTATTCAATCTACTAGATATATAGTATAATTATGAGATTACACATGCATAGTACAACGCGAAGCGAGCCCCTTACCCATTAGTTGACGTTTTTTCAATTTACCATGGATTAGGTAGCTAGTGATAGTGCGTGATACATTCATATATGTATCATACTCTTTGATAATAATTTTGAATATTAATAGATCGGGAGGGAGGGAGGGAGAAAGAACGTATTGTGGATTTTGTTATATACCGGGTTGTTTGTGTAGGGGTTTGAAACTGGATTGGGATTGGAATTGGAATTGGGATTGGGATTGGAATTTGATTGATTGTTACATGGGGTTTGCGTTTTGAAAATCTCACTTTTGGTTGAGAGGGGTGAGGAGATGGATTGGATTGATTGGATGGAGATGGAGATGGAGATGGAGATGTAAATAAGAGGGGGTTGAGTATAGTATAGTATAATATAGTATTCTATTATGAGTAAGTATAGGTAGGTATAGGTATCTAAGTACTTGGCTCTTTGCGTTTTTCTCCTCTGGATTTGGGGTTCTGTGTTGGCACTGTACTTTTGCACTCTTCCACACACGAAGCACCACGTCCGATTGTGAGATCTCGAGATCTTGCAAGATTTGTTTTCGTGTTTAGTATCGGATGCTGTTCCCGGTCTCGCGGTTGGTTCAACGTGCTTCTTGCACCCTTGAGCTTTTGCGTAATTGTTTCTGCGAAAATTAATATGTGTTGGCTGGGTTTGGGAACGGGATCGGGCACGGTGGGAATGGAGAGGGAATGGATAGTTTTTGAGCGATAAAGATGCTGGTTTTCGCTTTTGTACGAAGACCTACTTGAGAATTACTCATTCTGTTCTGTGCATCGTTGGCTGTTGGGACTGAAGATATATTGATCATTAGAAGCTATATGTAAGAGTTCTGGAACCTACTCACCGCACACTCTTAAATTTGTGACAAAATCCGGGCAAAAATGTTTTTTTTTTATATAAATTAAAAAAAACTAATAACTCTTTCAATTTGAGGAATTTTGTTTTCAAATTTCAATAATATATAATTGAAATTATATTTTATTTGAAAAAATATACTATATATTTTTCATTATTTTTATAAAAGAATCATATAAATTTCAATTTGAAAAATTAGAAAATTTCTAACTTGTAATACTTTTCCCATACAAAATAAGCGATTTTTTTAGAATTTTTATGATTTTTATCTTCAAAAGCTTATCACTTTATAAATAAAATAACTAAAAATAAACTAGCTTTTTATATTTAATTTGAATAATTAAAAAGCAAATCAATATTACTTTTATCATTTAATATAGAAATCAAAAGAATAAACAAGGGGTTTAAATATTGAAGAATTGATGGTTTTAGTGGGGAAAACGAAATCTGTGCGGTAAGTAGGCTCCAGAACTCTTATCATGTTACGTTCTGCGACATTCGTGTTCTTTTCAAACCAATAGAAATAAATATGTATAAATATCTTCGGATTCGTATTTAGGAGAGAGTATGTTTAATGGAACGAAATCGCTTTTACACATTTTCGAAAATATTTTTTCAAGGGGGTTGAGACTCTCGTAAATGTTGGTTAGGATTACTATTGTATATATCTGAGACTTTGTTGGATACTTGATATCCTTGAAAGAAATTACTAGATGCTTTCTGTGTGTAGATATTCTTTCAGCTCTCTCTCTCTCTCTTTCTTTCTCTCTCTCTACACATACGCACCCCTCTAATGTCCCCCCAAAACTCAAATCACCACCCCAACTCCAAATATATAAGAAATCCCGACTTGCAAAGTCCTCGCCGATTCTCAACTAGAAGCCCAGAAGCTCTCGAATATCATTTATTTCTAGATATAGCTTCGTTATCATCATCATCATCATCATCATCATCATTATCATTCCATAAGAACCATAAAGAATGATATATAGAAGCTCACGAATATAATATAACACACCCGACCTCGACATTCCGGAGCAAAGGATGTAGAAGTTAGATAAGTAGATAGATACAAACTACTCATCCAATACAAAATCAATAATGAGTAAGAGTAAATCAATGAAACAAAAGAAGACAATCCATCATCATCGTCATCATCATCGTCACTAACACTTTCACTACTGTCCTTGCGATTTATCCTCAGCACCCGACTATCACTTCGTCAAATCCAAGAGAACCCCTCTCAAAAATTTTATCACAATCCAAGAACCTACAAAGAAACTCAAATTCGCACTTATCATCCACTTATCCATTTCCAAAACCACGGTATACCGTCGAGCTTAAGCCCCCATCTCAAATTAAGTCAATCAATCAGCCATTCTTCCCCTAACTTCCTAAGCGACCGTTCTGAGAGATTCTCCTCGCATCGATGGGAAATATCTATATTAAAAAAACTATAAGAAAATGGAAACATATTTTTTCTACTTACTTTTCTCTTGCTGGATTGGATGAAATTTGAGTGCTAGTAATTTTAATTGAGATCGATGTGCTGTTTTAACAAGAAGATTCTTCACACGCAGATACGTGGAGTATGCAATGATATGATACTACTGCGTTGTTGATGACGATTTTCTGGTAATGGTAGTAGGAACGCGTAGATTCGATCATTATTTCTCTTGGTGGTGCGAGAACTTGGTGATGTGGTGATGGATACTGACTCGGGGTAGATAGGTGGATACGATGGGTTGTTCACGCATGCATTGGATGATATTTCCATGCACCTAAATTGAACAATGCTGGTCATCTTCTGAAGAGAAAGAGATTAGAGCTTGACGTGTTTGTGCGTATCGCCATGCAGTCACGGATTCTTCACTCCACCAAAGACTAAACGGTGTTTAAATAATTCGTAAATTCAGATCATGTATGGTAACCCCCTAATGCTAAATCAAAACTCCAAATGGATACCCTCTATCGCCTGTGCAGTACAATTCGCTCCTCAAGGACCAAAAACCAAACATCTAACTTCGATACTCTCTCTACCTTTTGCACCCTCGGGTGTTCTAGGATCTTCAAATGCAGTATGTGGCACTCTACCACCCTGAACCTCAGTACCAGGCTTCAACGATTCACTGTCGAAGCACTCTAAGAATAATCTCTCATCATTCTTCATTCCAGACAGGTAGTGCCATTTTTGTCCCTCGTTATATCTGATACCAGCTGTTTCGCCAGTTGTATCTGGATATCGATGTTCGACCGGGATAACATCTTCGTCGAGAGTAGATGCCGAGCTAGCGAATGCTAGCGGGTTCCCCTGAACAACTCCATTGATTGGACGCCATACATTTATAATTCTAAATCGACCTTGAAGGAGTTTCTCTGCTTCTTCTGGCAAGTGACGATGTACACGTTGCTTGGCCGATTTCAAAGTTTGATCGATATGGACTCTTGCGACCGGGCCTCGATGAGCATTGGGATCTGAGCGACGAACAGTATGGTCAAAAATAAACACCTTGTTCGAGCCGGGTACATGATCCAAGACTAATTTCTCGACTTCGGGATAATAGTTTGTTTTGATTGATTCATCGTCTCGAAATTCCCTTTCTGCAGACTCCGGGACTTCGAGGATTACCTCGAATGCATCTTTGTTAAGATTGTATTGTGATTCTTTGCCGCGGATATCGCTGATGGGAACTTGGATGTCAAAATCTCCAAAGTTGCGTTGAGGTTGTCCTTGGGGCGGTGCTTCGACGTAATTGAAAGGTGCGGCGCCGTCTTCGGGTGGTCTGAAATAATTGAGGGTGACAATTGTATCACCGCGAGGGACAAAACTACTGTCTCTGATACTGATTTGGCCGGCGGCTTCAATCCGTGAAGATTGAGAGAGGTTATGGGCGGGTGTGTTGTGGAGAGGTGCAGCGGTTGTCATGATGTTGAATTGTCTATGCGTACTTCTAGGCTGGATGGTCAAATACCGTAGGAGTGACGTAGTCAAGTGTATGTTGATTGTTTAGCAATTATAATCTAACAAATTGATGCGAGAATGTATGTATATGTATATGTGTTTGAATTGCTGTATTGTATTAATGTAAGTAAAGAAAATGAATTGACAGCAATGGATATAGACGTATATATATGCGTATGTATAAGTACAAAGAGCATGCAACGACAAATTCTGATATTGTAAGCAACGAAAACGGTGCCGTGCTAGCACGTCATTGAGATCTTAGAAATCGAGGGGTAAGATTACTCGGCCATATCTTATCACCGTCGAAAAGCGTACCTCTCCCTTCCCAAAAGCCGAGGGCGAGATGACTATTCAATTAGTAGCACGCCATGTGGCAAAGTGGCTTCGGAATACCGCGATGTCTCCTTTGGAATTGCTGAGTGACTAGCCGGAGGTGAGTGATGCAACAAATCGGGTTGCTGGAACTGAGTAATCAAGTATTAGGTAAGCATGTTAAGTTGGGGCACCAGGAGGATATTAGATTTTTGTTGACAAATAGAATTTAGACCAATCAAAGTTTGAATTACTCAATTTCGTAATTAGTAAGCTAGCCATCCTCGAGCCATCTTCATGATTTACCCCAGATTCAATCATTACCTAGGCAATGGATCTACTAGGTACTAATAATAATAAGTAGGCACTTGGGAGGCTCGAGGGTAACCTTAGATAGGTAGGGAGGTACACTTTTTTCACGCTTTGACTAAGGTTTACAAAGTTGGGAGTTCTATATAGTTTATTACACTCCAGTCGCTTGAAGAGTCGACTCATCTATCACTGTAGCACAACAGCACCAGAGAACCTCATGACGCTGCGTGGAAGGGTAGTGCCTTGACACATTGGAAATCATTCCGATGAGTCTCATCATGATTACTACAAGGTAATCACTGAATGATAATCATTGATGTGAGAGTCCGAAGACACATTTGCGATGAATCTATAGTTCAAACATCAGTCACCATGCCACCGAGCCGCCGAGCCACCTTCGATAATGAGATATCTACGCACAGTGGACAATAACACGGGCATTGCCAAGGCATTGTGAGGGGCAATGAAAGCAGAAACACGGTGTCAATCCAGCCTACCTATGAGCCCATCTAGATAGTTGATAACAAAAGCCCTTCGTTGCTAATAAGCTCTGAAGTTCTTGATGTGAGTTTGCGTGAGTTCACTAAATTTTACGAAGAAGAACAGTTCTTTGTGGCTTTAGTATAGTTCTAGCATAGCCAGTAGAGTAGATGCCTCCCTAAATAAACGACGGTAGCGAAGAAATATGTTTCAACGATTATTCCAACGTTGTGTTTCAGGGATGGGTGATTACTAAGCGAGCCCAGCCATCAACCAATAAGATTGAGGTCCTAAATTGCCTGTAAATTAAGTTTACTTCAATGTAAACAAACCGCATCGTCGCAACTCAAATATTCGAAAGATTATAGAGACATCATTTTGCGACAATATTCACAACGAATTATACACGCCTCCGCATAACATGAAATTATTGGATTAATTTGATAGTGAATGATCTTCATACATCTATCTCCATTAGAACATAGAAACAGAGGATTTTCATTTATTTATCGCGCTCTTGCGCATTCATTGTTATGATGGTCCAATACGGCATGGATGAAGCCTTGTTATCTTCCCCAGATCCCCTCGCCGACTCCTTGACATATCAGGCACCACCGAGTTCGAAACGACGAAAGACTCCCTCATCGCGTTTATCACTGCCATTACCAGCCAGTTCTCCAAAAAAACAAATCTTCGAATTGGACGTAGGAAACACACTATCACCACAGAAAATTAGAGTTACAGTGGAAGCAGAAGATTCGGACAGCGAGGATGATCATGCCAACCTCAGACCTCATAATTTCAGTTCACCTACACCTGCGCCAGTACCCCGTCGAATAGAGCGAACGACGACGACAACAGTGCCTCTACGAGGACTTTCGGATTCTGAAAATGATAATAGCATTCGATATGAGGTAACGCCGAAGAGGCCCAGAGGTCGTCCAAGGAAATCAAATACTCCGGTCCAAAAACAAGGCACTTTGAATCGAGTTGGGAAGCGTGGACGAAAAAGTGTTGGAGAGGAGGTAGACAATCAAAGCCAGGATGTAAACGAAGAAGAAGTCTCGGCGGGAAATTCTAGATCACGATCGAAGTCAGCGAAGGTTATCAAAAAGGCGACACCGCGTAAGAGGAAAGCTAGTTCGGATTTGGTCTCATCGAGTGTTGTCAAGAGAGGTCGTGGTAGACCAAGATCCAAGCTGCGAGAAGAAATACGACTATCTGACGGAAGTGATGTGGCAGAGCAATTGAAAACTCCCAATGCCGAGCCTAAGGTGGTAGAGGCTGACATTCATGAGGGAATGATGCCGGAAGAGATTGATCTTTTGGCAACCATTGATGCCAATTCGGAAAGTCCAATTTCCCAGTACCCCGCCTATCAATTCACATCGACTTTCCCAAGTAGTGAAGATGTTGAAGAGGATGTTGTCATTGCAAGATTTCACCCTGGAGAAGAAACGCCTCCAACAACAGGTTGGTCAAGCGTTTTGGAGACCTCCCAAATGCCAAGTTCGTCAAATAGGGCACAAGAGGAAACGAGTCCTCTGAGTGAAAGTTTAGGAAATGGCGCTCCACCTCTGGAATTAAATGGTCCCATTGAAGATGATGACGACAACGGCGATTATGGAGGCGATGGGTTTGATGATGAGACGGATGAAGATTTTGACGAAACGCGTGAGATAAGACAATTTTCCGACGGAAAAATGAAAAATGCTACCGAAGAAATGGAAGAAGAGGATTTTGAAGATGAAATGGACGATGATTTGGATCATAGACCTGAGTTTGACACCATTATGGAGAGTGAAGGGTTTAGTTTGATATCGCTTGATTCTGTACCATCGTTGAGGAAGCCCCTGAATGGGGTACTTCAAGATGAGGGGCAAAACTCAGCCGCACGTCCACAGAATAAAAATGTTCTCTCAGCCCAAAATACAGTACAGCACAATTCATTTTCGGGTATAGCACCAGAGATTCTTGAGGCTGCAACACCAGGCAAGAAACCTAAAAATCCTCACGTTTTCCGCGTTCAGGAAGCTCGAGTTGATGATTCATTTTCAAGCATACCACCCGAAATTCTCGAGGCCGCAACCCCAGCCCCTGCGCGAAAAAGGGGCGTCAAGATGTCACATCCAGAAAGTTCTACGGTAGTCGGAGAAAATGTAGCCGGCTATGTTGATAGCAGCCTGTCGGATACTCGTATCAAGCCTTCTAGAAAAACTGGAGGATTGGGCGAGGATTCGTCGTCTACCAAGCATGCAGCTCTACTTGACGCTGCCACCCCACGTTTAATGCGCAAGGCACCGCTTCGGCCGAGTTCAACAAAGAAGTTGGGACCTAATTCTAAGATAAATTCCAAGCCGTCACAAGATCGCGCGAAATCGTCGCATCTTGCAACATCGCCAAAGCCATCTAAATCGCCCTCGCCACCAACGAAAGAATCTAAGCAGCCAACTTCGATAAAAACCAGTGAGGGCAAATTAACAGGAAGTCAAGATACTGAAAACCCTGCTGAAGAGTCCTTCATCAACTCGCAAATCCATTCCTCGCCGCCTGCAATTGCATCACGCAGATTTACATATACAGCACATGTTCAACAGCAAAGGCAAACAAACCCTAAGCTGGCACAGACTCCAGCTATTGTGTTCTCATCCCCCACATTGCCACCACCTATCCAGCCACCAAGGCAACCATCCGAGAGGCCAGAATCTTCGAACACAAATGCATCATCACCCGCTGAAAAGGCTGGCCGTATTCTGCAAGATATTGTCATACCATCATCATTACCCAGAAGTAGATCTGAGAGTCTAGCTAGTCCCTTTAAGAGTCCAGCAACAGGGAGAAGATCAAGTTCAAGCGCATATCCAGATACCAATATTAGTCGTTCTATGCCTGCCGAGCAGCCTCAAACGTCGCTGCCAAAATTAGATCATAATGGAGACTTGGCTTCGAAACATTCGCGGAGAAGAAGCTGGAGTAGACCTGTTCCCGACGAGGGCCCATTTGTTGGAAATGAGGCGGCACAAAGAAACCCATCTACGGATAAATCTCAAAATGTCAATCTTGAGCTACCTAGTAGCCGTCGCATGTCTGTTTCTATAAATGCGGCGGTCATTCCTCAGCACGAGTCGTCAAGGACCATCAATTCTATGAATTCGCAGCTTGAGGAGAATAGCCGCAACGGAGTCGTTGAAAAGCCAGTGCCGTCGTCATCGTCATTGGAGAAGAAACCCGTGGAAACTAAAAGAACTTTGAGTAGCTTACAAGAGAAATGGGCTGCAGAACGAGCTGCGATAAGCAAACAAATCTCTACAGCAAGTACCAATGAAGTTATGGTTCTAAGTTCCGATGATGATGACAATAAAGACGGAGATGAAGATTACGATGATGATGATCTGGCTGCAGGGGAAGAACAGGAAAATTTACCCGGAAAGATGCGTGCCAATCCTGAAGACGATGATAATGCCGATAATGGTGTCGGTAATCATGAAGAAGAAGGCTTTGAAGACGATGAAAGCTTTGGGCTCTTGCTGGAGACCCTTGATGCTTCCAACCAGGAAAACCAGCTTCACTCTGACAAATCCGACCACGCGGAACGACCTAAACGAAGTAAAATTCCTAGCCCGTGGAGAACAAATAGCAAGCGTTTAGTGTATAGCGATGAGCTTGCTAGCGTATCACCTGACCATGACGCAGAAGCTCCCACGGTTGAAGAGCCATCGCCAAAAAGCGGTTCGAAGCAGGTTGATGTATCGAAAAGCTCTCAAAAAAATCCTCAACCCGATAGTGACTCGACCCTTGACTTATCTGGGTGGCAGATACCACAGAAGCAGAATTTTCAGCCAAAGATTCGTAGCCTA